TGAGCTCATCTTTAATTACTTCTAACACACTAGCAGTTTGCAAAGGCGCATATTCTTTTGATTAGTTGAGCCTTAATTGGTAGCAAAGCAAAAAAGCATGATTGGTAACACAAGTATATTTGTAAAATCAACAAGCATACTTTATTTCACACATCATCTAAGGGGTGACAGGGAGGAGTAGGTTAGAATGTTTGCTTTCATTTTTTGTTCTCAGTTTGGAACTTTGTTCCAATGTTTACTTTTAACTGCAGTTTATTGAAACAAAATAATATTAAACCTTGGTTCACAAAGGCACTTCGTTTCAATAAACCATGGTTAGGATTAACCGTATCTTGGGTTGAGACAAGTAACTGGAATTAAAAGTGAAAGCTTCAGATGTCTTATATTCAGATGTTTCTGGACTTCAGTTCCCTCAATCCAGGCCAATGACGAAGAATACTGGGAGTTGCAATCAAAAACCCAGTTCTAAACACTTTGCTGTGTCAGTTGGAGTTAAACAGCCATTTTCTTCTTTCGCCACCATAATGGGAAGAAACACACTATGCCAGCTTTTGGACTAGTTTAGTTTCTGGTTCATCTGTTATCAAGAAATCAAGCTCCCAACAATATGAGTTATATAAATTATATAAATTGTAAGATATGGCTTCATTGGAAAAAATATAACCAGTAACGTGGTCATTTCTGATTACCCTAAAAAAATTCCTCAGAAATTCCCCAGAATTAGGCCCTTGCCTCACCCTAACCCAGAAAAAAATCACCACAATCCAATTTCCTTTATCTATCCGGCTTAGCATGATCTAGGCTAGCCCTGGGAACATTACCTGATCTATAGTACCTATCCAGACCACCTCTGTGAATCCTCCATTGTATGTAACTGCACCTAAAACAAATTTTGTCCATCAGCCAGCCCCTCTTTTGTCTAAATGGCACTGGACCATCAGGACCCATCAGCCACCCATCAAACTGCATTCCATCCAGACATACCCAGTTTCTGGGAAAAACTCACAAAAGACACAAGACTTCAAGTACACGAATGACAGTTTATTAGATTCCCCGCCTCACCTCTGATTGGTTCAGAAGCAGAAGCAGACCCGTGCTTCCTCCAGTGAGCCTGCGAATCCTAGCCAGCATCTTCCAGGATCAATGGGAAATTAATGTGATAATTTTCAATTGTCCTGTCCTGCTTCTTCTTTCTATTAAATTTATTATAAACTAGCCGTTCCCTGCCATGCGTTGCTGTAGCCCAGTCTATGTATATGTGTTTTGAGTGTGCATATGTATGTGTATATATATTTGTATATGTGTATATATGTGTGTTTGCATTTATATATGTGGTTTTGCACATGCATTGTAATGTTGTTGTTTTTTTTGCCTTTTAAGTCTCTTCCGCTGTGTTTTTCAGTAGTTTTTTTTAGTGATTTGTCCAAATTTGGTGTCAATTTGTCCAGTGGTTTTTGAGTTATGTTAATCCCACAAATGAACATTACATTTTTATTTATATAGATAAACACATGTGTTCACAATTAGGGTATATCAGTACTTTGAAGTGTTTTCTCCACTGACATCTTTTCTGGCCAGGAGGAATAAAAACTTCTGCTTTTGCCTTTGAACCCATCTTGTGTCTTGATTTGGCCGTCTGGATTAGCTAGACACTCCGGGCTCCCTGAACCCACAATTTTAGCAGACCTGAAATCACATAACACTTCTCTGGCTTTTTAAGGAATAGTATCTGGGGAACAAAGAGACCTGGGGTAGATTGTCTGGATCTCTCCCCCCACCCGACACTCCTGGCAACCCAATATTAATCCCTGTTCCCTTATGTCCCCCAGAGCACTGTCAGAGGAACAGAAACAATGGTAGTAGACATCTCTATTATCTAATAGTAAGGACCACTTGGGGACTTTCCTCACCACAGACAGAAAGTAAAATCTGAAGTATTCAGTTGCTCTTCACCAGTAACCTGAAAGGATTTGCTCTGAATTTAGACCTTTTCTTGGAAATTGATTTGAGGCCTGAGATTACACAGTTGTGAAGTAAAATTTGTACTAAGACAGACATGATGTTTACATCATGCCTGTCTACATAGAAAAGGCAATTCTTTCAAAATTCCAACTCTTCTAGCTGGCCTGCAGATAATTGAACCAGCAGGGAGAAAACAAATGTAAGTGGGTTCAGTTTGGCTACTTTATGACCATTAGTTATTTCATTCTTGGAAGGTGCTTCTTTGTAGAAAAAGGGCTTTCTGGGGGTGAAGACGCACACTGAGTCTCATATGTCCTATATGCATCCACAATAGTTCCATTGCAGTGGCACAGTATAGCTTCTCAGCACAAATTCAAAAATCTCACACAATCTTCTCTGTGCACTTTCAGTGGTTTTTACTGCACTGCAAGTGCTTCCCATGTAGAAAAACAGTATATGTATCATACACTGGCACTGAATCTGGAAAGGAAACTATGCTGAATTAAATCATATTTTCTGCTCCATTGTTTGTTTTCAGCCTGCCCAAGATATGCGCCTTCCTGGAAAGGGAAGTAGGACAGCGATACATAGCTATTTTTCAGTCCCTTCGTTTACATGGCATCACTTCAAGTAAGCTGACTTCTTTTTTTAAATAGTTAATCAAGCAGATGGTTAGAATCAGTGTGCAGGCGCAAACTGTGAATGGAATTCTGTATTGGCTTATACTTGCCTAAGGACTTTTAACATGCAACAGAGGCAAATTGACATTAAAGCAGGATTGTGTGCACCCCACTGCCTGTCTGCCCCCTCCCCATGATTTATCCTTTCCCTGATAATGACAGGTAAAACCCATCAATAATATTAACAACCACAATAATAAGAAACAGTGGAAATGTGGAAAGGCAGGGTTGTTGTAAGGGTATACAGCAGGATGACTAATTAGGACTGTGCAAAAAATCAGTGGATTGTAAGTGTGATTAGTTAAATCTGTATTCATGATTCTAGAGAAGAAAGGAGCTGTGGGCGCAGAGTCTATGGAGCTAACCCCCGGGCAGTACTCTCCCCATCCTCTTCCCCTGCAGAAGACCGAGGGATTCCAGGGGCACAACATGTCTGCCTTGGAACTGGTAGTGTTGGCCCTGCACGCTGTCTGCCCTTCTGCTTTTCCTGCTCCTGGCCTCAGGATGGACAGAAGGAGCCCCCCCCCCCCTTAGAGGAAGAAGCAGAAGAGGAGGGGTATGTGCAGAACCATGATCTCCCAGGGGTTAGCTCCTCTGGCTGCACACCTGTGGCTCCTCTCTCCTCTGGAATCATAAATACAGATTTCATGAATCATGCTTAGCATCCACAAACAATTTTTTTGCACAGCCCTAATTACTGTAGAACCACAGATCATCAAATCAGTGTTATTTCGCAAATGGAGATATGTGCAATAATGATGTGGCTTATTCTGGTATGTAGTTACTATAAGTGATAAAATCTTAGTGATAAAAGTACTTCAGGAATAAAATAACTTCTTATCTGAACCCTCTACATTTAATTGAAACATTTAACTGTGTTCTGACTGTCAGTAGAATGGACCTTCTTTCCCCCAATAAAACTTTATGCTTAGTAAAGTAGTTTGCATGATGTAGCAATAATGTTAAAATCATAACTCAGTCACTGTGACTATTTTGATCCTACTGCTATGATGGTAACTTGACCTTCAATTTACTTCACCAGGCATCAGCTTCATGGGGTAGAAAAGGTACATTCTGCTACAATCAAAGCATGGTTAAATTATGTTTCCATCGGGTTTCGAGTGATTCAGCTAGGAAAAGTTACTGGGCCTCCTGCACAATTCTGGAGTTTGTAGTTTAGTGAGGCCCAGAAAGGCCTTTTTCTATACTACAAGCCCTAGAATTCTACATGAAGCAGAAACTGGATTTAAAGTGGATCCATGCTCCAGTGCAGTGGGCCACAGACCACCAGTGGACCAAGACGAGGAATATCTAATCTGCAAGCTTCCTTCCTCTTTATTTATTTCTGCTCCTTTCACGCTGCCTGCCACTCTTTCCCTGTCGCTGACCATGACATATATTCTGTGTCAGAAACTAGAGGTGATGTGGTCTATCCAATGAAATTTTCTGGATCAGCACCCCAAACCCAATCTAAAGTTGACCAAAAACTGATTCGTAACCCTTTTGGTACTAATGTTGGAGAGTGGTTCCTGGTCAAAGCGGTCCCTGGCCAAAGTGGTCCCTGGTCAAGTGGTTTCTGTTCAACGTGGTCCCTAGTCAATGTGGTCTCTAGTCAATGTGGTCCCTGGTCAAAGTAGTCCCTGGTCAAGTGGCCCCTGGTAAAAAAAAAAGGTTGTGGACCACTGCTCTAGTGTGATGAGTAGTTAGTTAAGGACAAACAAAATGATCCAGAATTCTAGTTCTTATTTGCATGTCAACAAACTTGAATGTAATAAAACAGACAGAAGCAAAGCTGTAAAATGCAATGGGAAGAATGTCAAGTACTACTCCCAGTTTAAAGGATCTTGTAGCATTTTTAAGATTAATTGAGAGAAAGAAGTTAGTAGCCTAAGCTTTCATGGACCAGTTGAAATAGATGTAAGTCTATGAAAGCTGCCAAGTTCTTGCCCCCGGGCCCTTCCAGACAGGCCCTATATCCCAGGATCCAATCCCAGGTTTTCTACTTTAAACTTGATTGTATGAGTCTGCACTGCCAGATAATCTGGGATAAACCAAAAAAAAAAAAAACTGGGATCAGATCCTGGGGTATAGGGCCTGTTAGGAAGGGCCCTCAGTGAATCTCAAAGGTCCCACAAGATTCCTTTGCATATTGATCCATACAAATATGGCTATGTATTTGAATCATTTATTCCCAATTAGATGATGAGGAGGAGGATGATATCAATATTATAGCATTCTTCATGTGTAGGGAAAGAGATGAGAGAGATGTTATAAGCACATATGAGCTTTTATAAAAAGAATTGCCCATGAACACACCCAATTTCTCATGCCCTTTTTCAGGAGCTGATCATGTATGCATGTTATGTAAATATTCGTGAATTGCGTAAAAAAACAACAACACTTTAAACTCAAAATTTTAAAATGGGGATTATCAACTATTTCTCAAATATATTATGTTATATTAATGAACATCATGTTTCCCAAACAATGACAAATCCACTAGTTGATGTATTTATCTATGGAAAAGCTACATTGGTTTCAAACTAACAAACACCTGTATATTTGTATTTGTATTTTATTTTAAGAGGACTAGATGTATGTTGTATGTTGTGTTTGCACTGTCTGCTTTGATAAGGCCAACTGGCTAATCAATAAATATTGTTGTTGTTGTCAAATCCACTTCCCATTTTCTTTTCCAAGAGTTGTTCAACACTGTAAGAAGTAATGGAGCCAGCTTTCTGTTCAAAACAACAACAACAACAACAACACAACCCAAACGAGCTTTCCTCAACTTTCCAGTCTAAAAATGTTGTACTACAACTTAATTTAGTCCCAGGGACCAATGGTCATGGATACTGGGAGTTGTAGTAAAACACATGTAGATATCACATTGGAAAAGGCTGCCCCAAGGCTTAGCTACATGTGTTCTGCTCACTGTGCTATGCAATATGCACTTATTTCTGGGTTAGTGCAATAGGAGACAATGCAATAATATTGCCTAATGCTATTCTCAGCCTTCGTTTGGCCCTGCTATAACACTTAAGTGCAACTCCTGTGACTACTTAACATTTATATAGCTCTGGATTATGTGAAAGGAGCTACTGTGTACTTTTTGTGAGGGCAGGGAGAGAGAAAAAAGAATGGAAGTGCATTGTCACAAGCTCTTTCAAAGCCACCACATTAAAAATAAATCTTTCCATTCAGCTATTTTCTCACTGCATTTGTGTTGGAATAATAGCTGCTTTCATAAGAAAACCTATGTTACATTCCGTCCTCTTAACCCAAAGCAGACTGCAGTGATGTCACACATAGCCATCCTCAGCCATTAAACCAAGGCACAAATGTTGCTGTAAGCAAAGAAAATTGAATTGTTTTGCAAGAGAAAAACTTCAAATTAATTTATCCATCCTTGTGGCATGAACATCTCAGAAGCAAGTTAATATAAAACTTGGCCAAATCCTGCTAAACCTGATACTTGGTATTGTTCTTGGTCTGCCAAAACCGTGTCAGACCCTGATATCTAGCAAATCTAATTAGTGTCTTGTTGACAAATGAAACACTTTGGCAATTCTGATCTCTGGTAGAATTATGCATAGAAGCAAGACTGGGCAATAGGTCAAAAGTATTAGAAATAGTTAATTGACTCAGTGAGTGGTGCTTAGAGCTCTTAAATGTTACTTTTTGGGTCTACAACTCCCAGACTTTTGTAGCCAGCATAACCATTGGCCATACTGGTTGATGGATTCTAGGAACTATAAACCAACTTTCCCCAGCAGCAGGAAAAGATAGATCTGGAAATCAATGGATGTAATGGGCTGTGTGAATTCACACTGTGTCTGAGCTGAGGCATGGGCAAACATTAGCCCTCCAGGTGTTTTGACTTCAACTCCCACAATTCCTAACAGTTGGTAAACTGGCTGGGATTTCTGGAAGCTGAAGTCCAAAATATCTGGAGGGCCAGAGTTTGCCCATGCCTGGTCTAATTTACACTATTATTGAACTATGCTTGGTTTTTTTTTTTTACTTGCATGAAGTTCATTCTCATAGAAATTAAATGTGATTTTTAAAAAACTGTCATATGTAATAGGCCGGTGCAATCAATGAAAAAATGTTTCAATACTCATTACTAAATTGGGATGGGGGTGAAAAATAGTTTCTAAAGAGTTTCTAAAATATTGTTAGAGATCCATATCATAACTATAACAATATAATGAATTTTTTGTTGCTTTTTCATTGAGTAATTGCACAAGTAGGGAAGCTTCCTGGGCTTCTTTCTCCCTCATTTTTAGAGCTATCGGGATGACACTTGCTACAATGATAGAACACATTCACCACTTTTACCCCCTCAAGTTTCGAAATATTTTATTCGTCCACTGATTTTTGGGAATTTAAAAAAGTTTTTATGAACAACATTTTTTAAAAAAAACTACAAGAGCTATCTCTTTGATTTTCTATTTTCTTTTTTTTAAATATAATCTTTATTCAGTTTTTCAAATAGAACAGTTAAAATATAGCTTTGTAGCAGAGGCTACCAGTAAGAGAAAATATGGAGTATGTGTATGTCAGTTTCCCGAAATATGAAATGATATAGTGACTAAAAGATAGTAGAATAGATAGCAATAAAGATAATGAGATAGAGGGAGAAAGAAAAGATAAAGAAAAGATATAAAGCCCAAAAGCCCCAGATAAAAACAGCGATAACAAAAGAAAAATAGATTCTTGCTTTCGACTTCCCGAGGTTTTCATAGGGTCTTCTCTGTCGTTCGTCTACCCTCCTTCTCCTCTTCTTCCCTTTCTTCTCTCCTCATCTTCTTTCTCCTCCTCTTCCTTCCCTCCAGCTCTTCTTCAGTTATGTCAGGATCTTTTTGTTCCTTTGTTTGAAATAATCCATCACCTTTTCCCAGTTTGTTTCCTTCATTTTTATTCCTTTGCTTCTTGTTATTAGAAAAG